CGCCGCCGCCGCCGCAGTGCCGGTCCCGGTAAGCGAGCGCTCAGCACAGCCAAGTGCATATTAGACGAGGCGGTCGCGAACGCCGCGCATTCGCCGGCGAGCGCTCGCTCAGAGTGGAGAGTGCTGCGACTTGCGAGTTGTTGTGCCGCGTGTTTTTACTCTCTCTCTCACTCTCTCGCTCTCTCTCGCGTTCGTTCTCCCCACGTCAAGTGCCACGCTGTGCGGTGCGAACGTCCGAAATTCGCGAACGCGATATACTACTACTCCAGGAAATTACACATCTTGGAGTTCACGTTTTTTACGTGTTTTCAAGAATCACGTATTTCTCTCGGCAACAATCATTGTCGAACTTGTTAAGTGCGATCTCTGACCGCGTGAAGTTGTGAATGGAACACACGAATCCTCGAGTATCGATAACGTGTTCTTGAAATAATCGCGGAGTGGTGTTCGATGTATTAGAAGAGGTTAAGCTCTTTCAGTGCCGTTCTCGGATTTCTAAACATTTACCGCCGGGTTGACGTATCACGGCGATACCGAGCTGTGACCGGCGAGACTTAATCGATTTTTGATTGCCGAATTCTAACCGCCTAAGCTTCAATCGTAATTGTGCAAGTGTAACCTGTTAGGATATCAGGTAATTATTCTTCCTAGAAAAATGCATCAAGAGACTACGATTCGCCTTTGTTAGGGCTTAAAGGTCGTCAATTGATCTCGAAAGTTAATTATAAAAGTTAATTTCCTTATTAACACGCGTAACCGTGACTTAATTAATATCGGATATGCGCCGGCGTGCAATTCGCTGAAATATCTCAGTGGAACGCTCGGTAAGTGGAGAAATGTATTATTTAATCCACGGGTCATCGGCCTTCCTAGATGCGATTAACGCGACTCCCGCGATCGCTGTTAATCGACAGAATTAATTTATACATCAGGAACCTCGCGTACGTTAATTGAAATCGCTTGTGCATATATATTTCGACATGAATAACGCAATTATCGATTCTTCCAGCGTTGATTAATTCTCACCGTGATTAATTTTCTCACCGATTAATTCTTAACCGATTGTCGTTTTCGCTGCAGTACAGAAAAAAAAAAAAACTGACGACCGTATTTACTTACGATTTACTTGATTACAATTTTTGTCAACCGATTTGTCAAGGATCGAAGCAGATCGGTCGAATTTTCGAAAGACGCGCGAAAATAGTAATCGTCGTATGGCATATCGCACAAGAATTCTCCGAAGAAGATCGAGCCTGTTAAATAAACAAGTGGCGCATCTGCGCATCTAATATTTACACGTCGTAGACTTGCTACGTGCGAAGAAACCAATACCTTGGTCTCCGATTACGCTCCTCTATCGCGAGCAGCGAGTTGATTTCTCACTTACGCAGACGACTTGAGCGGAAACATTTGTGACACATGCCGAAATTTCAATAGATAGATAAAGACAAAAGGTGAAGGATCTAATCGTGCGATAATGCAAAATATTCCATCGGATCAATTACTCTGAGACTATATTCTTGGCCGTATCATTTTATTTAATAAATCTAATTTTTCTCCGTTTGACATTATTCGAGATGTAACACAAGGGATTTGATTAAATTGGATTTGATATATTTAAAAGTTAACTCGATTCAATTTGATTTCTTTCGAAGGGTGTGGAAGATAAGATAATCTTGCAAAAGCAATTTTTTTCTCAGCACGTAAGTTTTATTTTATAGTAGAGTACATTTTTGAAAATGTACTCATGGGTCGGGTGATTCTTATCGTATTATTGATGATTTTATATTTGTTGTCTCTTTGAAAACGCTGAATTAGTATTTGTTCAGAAATATACTATATCGCAATAAACGTTTATATCGGTTAAACATGTCGTAATCACGTATTTTGCCGAATCGTTCTTGCGTTTGCTGGATTTTTGAATGAAAATTTATTTATGACTCATTCATTCTTAACTTTACTTTGACCGCGTTTCTGTTATTAGTGTCCGCGTAACGAAAGTCTGTTATATTTATAATACAATGGATACGATTAAAAATTTGTCATTAAATAGATAATTAAGGTGGATAATTATAAAAGGTAGATAATTATTTCAAAAATTATATGATCTGAATTATATGATTTTATTTCAATCATATTTCATTTAATTTAGTACGTGTCGCAATTTACGGTCGTGCTTTGTTGTTCAACATTGTGACGTTCGTGATACGGTCACATTAAAAGAATTTCTCGTGAATAATATCGTAACGCGCCAATGAAAGATAATGAAAGTTTAATACGTGATACGGGACGCGTTATCTAATCTAGATATCATTTAAAGCGTAGTAGAAGCGAGAATTAGAGACGTGTAACGACTTGCGAATTTCAGTGCGCAAAAGATTGATTTTATCATCTTGCGTTATTATTTTTTTAATTCAATCTATCGATCAATCGCATTATGCGCCAATGCTTTTACGGAGCAAAGTTTCGTATAACGCTATTGTGATTAATCAATGAATTTAAAAACTTGCTTTATCTCTCGATTACATTTATATCATATTTTTCCATCGTTATATGTTTACCACCTCGTCACTGTGTTTCACCATTAAGTATTCCTCCGCTATGCTGATTGCTTTCTCGTTTTCCTCTCAGTTCGCTTTCCCGCTATACTATTTTTATTTATTTATCATATCAATTATCGCTCAGATATTTTATTCTAATTACGTAACGTAGACTATCCGGAGATATCTCGCCATACCGATGGAAATCGATTAAAAGTACCATAATTGCAAAATCGTAGATTTCAAGGAGTTATCTTTACAACAGTTTTCTGTCGCAAGAGTTTTTGCTTAACGTGGAGGCGGAGAAAGGAATGAAAATGCCTCGATATACTTTATCGCGCCAATTATCCTCCTGAAATGACTTAATCTTCCATTCGAAATTAAACCCGCCGCTCCTCTCGAAATATTCAAATTAGCTTGCGGTGTGCGGCAAAAAATAGAAGGGGGAGGGGGCGGGAAACAGCAAAACGAAAAGCTGCGGGGGATGAGTGCATCCTACTTTTCTCGCGGTCGTCTTCGCGCGTGAGCGACAAGCGTCGTCACGCGCGCGCACGTATCGGTATGCGTGCATGCGTGCGTGCGTGCGTGCCTGTCCTTTTTTCGTAATCGCCGACGTGTCGGCGGCGCCAAGCTAGAAGACGCGGAGGAAGGCCGACGACCCGTTATAAATGGAACCAGAGAGACGGCATTTCTTGAATCGCTGCTTGTGTTGTTATTCGCAGCGCAGCGTCGGCCGCCGCGGGACGAGCGAGACGACGAGCTGCGGACCAGGCTCGTTCAACGAAGCCACCCTTGCTTTTCGAAGGTGCGAAAAAGGAGGAGGCGACTCCGTAATTCTGAATCGTGCCCTGAATCGAGTTTGACGTTCGGTGCGGAGGATCCGGGAAGGAAGAACGGAAGAATTTAGGAGGAAATCTCGAAGGGCAAGCGCTTTCTTCATATTTTTCACGCGATAAAGAGACGCCGGAGTAAAATTAATTACGTAACGCTAAATAATGCGTTGACACTTGATGAGAAAAAAAAACAGAAAGAGAGAGAGAGAGAGAGCGAGAGAGAGAGAGAGAGCGAGAGAGAGAGAGAGAGCGAGAGAGAGAGAGAGAGCGAGAGAGAGAGAGAGAGCGAGAGAGAGAGAGAGAGCGGATCAGCTGAAATCGTTAGCGCTTGTAAAACTAAATATCGTAAGTGGTACTAGACGTTCGGATAGGAGACGAGCAAAGGGAACGATTTATTCGATTAATACGTACAATCGTTTAACAGTTGGAGAACAAAGATTTTACAGAAAATATTGTCCGAGAGACAGAGTCTCTCACCGGTGTGGGGAGAGAAAAGGACGAGAGGAAAACAAACAAAGCGCGACACGTGAAATTTGTCGTCTTCAAGGAGAAATCGTGATAAGATAACACTGCGGTCGTTGCTGCTAATAAACGTGCTCGACGAGAGGGTGGGGGGAGGGAGAGGGGGGCACATTGTGATTTCTTGACGAAGGACTTGCGATTGTAATCGCGGCTGTCATTCTGAGAAGAAAGGAGCTCGATCGCGCTCGACTCGGAGGAGCTCCGCGGTGAGTCGCAAGAGTTGCAAAAAGGAGGCTGTATTACTCAACACGCGGCTTTATCTCGAGGATCCCGCGCGAAGGAAGAATCGCGAGTTCGACATGCCAGACGGGGATTCGTAATCGCGGTTATATCAGGTCGTTCATCAGGTAGAAAACGACACACGGGACCAGTATCGGCTGCCTGTTCATCGATCGTCGCCACGGTTTCCTCCGAGTCGCCGGGAATTAGCAGGGAAGGTTCTAATTAATGCTACCATTAATAGCTCGATATCTAAGCAGTGACGACTTCAGCTGATGATTAATAGATAAAAGCCGATTAAATACCTGATCGTGGCAAAGAACGAGAGCGAGAGGAGGAGGGTCTTCGCTGTTTCTTTTCGAATTAATAATGTTCTTCTGCTTCAACACTGCGCCATAATTATCAATTCTCTATTCGTTCTACAGAATTCTGCCGATACGCTAGAGATTAAGATCCGCACGATTTCCCTCGCGATCTCTTTCTTTCTTTCCCTTTCGCGTGTAAACGAAAGAGAATTTAATGAAGTGCACGAGAGATTAATTAACGATCGATAATTATACCGCTACGAAATTGAGCAACGACGAGACTCGAGCAGATGATTGACTGACTTCGTTGTATCGATAATTAATTTCGTAAGTGTCGCGCGTGCTCGAGAAGGACATCCAGCCCTTTTTGTGGGCGCGAGTGAATGCCAGTGTTCTGGCCGAGGGCCGAGAATATGAGTCGCCGTAAATAAGTGACGGCGGTAAAGTGCAAAGTGATGTAATTGGTGCATTCGCTGCGGAGACAATGTGCGATGCCAAATCAGCCCGAATGACACTTGGCCCACGCAGCTGATGACAAACGTGAACAGGATCAAGGTGGTCGTCCTCGGCGGCCCCAGAGTCGGTAAATCAGGTGAATCTTTTTTTCTGAATCTTCTTTTCATTTTGCTTAAATAACAAAACAAAGGACTCTTTCTAAACAAAATAAATAAAAATAAATATCGGGCAAAGTAAGAGTCAACACATTTTTTTGAAAATTCACAAAAATGTATATTACAAATAACAGAGGTAAAAAATTACATAACGCAAAAAATTAGAATGTAAATTAAGAAATGATTAAAAGTTACAAGTTTCGGCTACCGGATTTAGCCCTCTTCAGACATTAATATAACGAAAATATCGTAGAACAAAAAACAAAAAAACAATTGTCGCAAAAGATCGCATATCGGGAACAATCACATATCGGGTGAGTCTTGATGTCGAATTAAACGTAGTTTTCGAACGGTTGAACAATCAAATGTATTAAAAATATCTTCGTAAAGTTCTAGTTGATAAAAAGATAATTTTCATTTTGCCTCATTCTTCGTGTAAAAATAATTTCACTTCTTCTCATCGGCACTAGTATCAAAATCGCAAAATAAAAAGATTTCTAATAAAGAAAAAAAAATCATTAACTCAACTGAATATTAATTCTGTTATATATATATAATTAACTAAATTAATTCTAATTATTAACACACAGTAAGTTAACTCTTCGTTTGCTATCTGAGTTTTATCCGGTTTAAGTTTTTTTTTTACTGTTGTAGGTTTGCAAAAAAGAACTTCCATTACTAACAAGATATTTTCAGTGCCCTCTTTTATTTCAGAGAAATTTAAGTGAAATTTCACTTGTGCCGAAAAAGATCTAGATTACGAACGAAGGATCAATTTAGTATAAAATTGATTGCAAGAGATTCCAATCAAATTGTGTGTGTGTGTGTGTGTGTGTGTGTGTGTGTGTGTGTGTGTGTGTGTGTGTCGCCATTGTTTTGTGATCTACGAAGAGAAAGGTTTTTTGCGCGCGAAATTAAATCGAACCGCGTTAAAACGGACAACGGAAAATGCATCTGCGGAAGCAATGTTGATTTCTTCGACGTGAACATGATTGGAACACATCGCGCTTCGGATACGATATCGTTTCGGTGACGAACGAAACGGCGAAAGAAGATGCGCGGATCGATTATGGCGCAATTTCGTGAAATATTGAATCACGTCGGAAGGACGTTCATTATGATGGACGATACTAATATCGCGTCGTCGTGCAGCGTGTAATTTCCGCGCGTTGTCTAATAGCGCACCGACGCAACGCATTGAATGAAAGTGCCGTTAAGATGGATACGCATAGTCCGTGGAATAATACGTTGCATTAGTTAACCCGACAGTCGCGCGACGCATACAAAGCGAGCAAAGCGAACGGGCGATAAGGCGGTTCGCCGACCTCGGAATAAATCCTATTAATAACCGCTAGGACCAGAGCCACCTTAATAAAGGCGCGCGCGCTCTTCGTTTTATTCCGATCTCGTCCGATCTCGTGCGTGGCTCTCCTCTTTCTTTGCTCACCAATTTTGCATCCTCGTATTATTAAGTTACCGGGTATCAACCGATCGTCTACGAAACCATCTCGTTGCCTACGCTCGGAGTAAAATTGTTTATTTTCCAATTGTTACAAGTTTTCCTCGTGCCGATTGAATATTTATATTTTTCAGCTGATATTTATCGGGTCTTATTTTATAAAGTCTCCATCTTCAGTCATATTTTATTATGCTAATACGGCTGTGTGATCGTTTCGTTGAGCACATCTTTGTGCTCAAGATGCATCTTGAACATAAGAACCGATTATGAATCTCAGAGCCACAAGAATAATTTCTATCTGAAAAAAATTCGAAGGGAATTTCATGTAAAATAAACATTTTTTTTTGGACACGGCTATCGTCGAGTTATTATATTTGAAACTGCATCTTTCTAACGCTGTTAATTACATATCTTTTTAAGATGTTGTCGTAATGTCGAATACTATAAATTCCTCAATCGTGAAATTTTCGAATAGAAAGTTGAGTTGCCTGATGGCATCGTCATATCTCGGAGCGTCACAAAGCGCCGTTTTTTCTGTCAGGATTATTGCATTTTTTTTTTCTTTCATTGCGTTAATTTAATTGCGCTTCGTTACTTCTGCATTCGCACGATCTTGATCGCTGTAAAACACGCGACAATGTCGTCTGTTCTACTTTTTTTGCGGCAAAAACGGGTGCATTCTCACGCGGCGGCGACGGGGCGGCGAGATGGGAAGAGGGATATCTCGACGGGAGCGAATCCTTAAAAGTCTCTTGTGAGACCCCGCTGAGTATAATAAGGACCTCCGTGGACGTTATCGGATATCATTCCGCGTAATCGAGAGAGGAGGGTGGATTGCCATGAAAAATCCCGCGCGGTTGCAGCAGCAGGTTGTCCAAGATCTGGACATTCGATACATCCGTTCTGTTGCCCGCGGTATTCGATTTTGAATTCCAAATTTATGCGGTAACATTTCTTCCTCCGCATTATCGCACCTTCGCCCGACACACTCTCCCGTGCGCGCGCAAAAATAACCGTAACTCTTCTATAACAAAGGAAACGAAAGTTTTGCTTGAAAATTCGAAATTTCATTGTTTATCACGTATTAATCTTTGTATTGAGCCACGCTACAGGAACACTTGGATATATCGTATCCAACCCAATTCAATCGCTTATAACTTTTATAAAAATTTACATAGTGTGAAGAATTCGTTTTCAATTGAAATGTCAGATATTAAGAAATATAACGGTAGCGAGCAAATGTATCTTTATTAATTTAAAAAAAAAGTTTGATCGACAAAAAGTTAAGCAATGGGAAAAGTATTGAAGAAATGAAAGGCGTTTAAGATAGTTAACTATGTAATAGGAGCTTAATTCTCGCAAAAATAGATACCAGCGTAAATTATAGCGTTTGAATTGGATATTTTCAAGTAAATTACAGAATCCTTCAACGACAAGTAGATTTCGCAAAAACTACTGACAGTGAGGCATCGTGAAAAGAATTATGGTCACGCGAGAAATGCAAGATTGTTATCTACAGCCATTTATCTGCGTTAACGCTTATTGAAGAGGCAATTGGAGGTCCGCTATCCAAGCCCAGACGTGTTCATAAATTCATTTGGTCTAAACGACTTGCTTTATTGCCGTGTCACAAGAAAAACGGCTACAGAATAGCAGCTCGTGGAAGTCCACGCTCCAACGGATTTCTTTTCTGCGAGATATCAATTTGACACTTTTATTACCTTTTTAATATATTTTAAATATAGAACGTTCTCCATTATATGATCAAATTACAATTTAATTTTTCATTTTTAAAAAAATCATATATCCCGTTATTTTTTTTTAAAGAAAAGTGTCTTCCAAGCAAATATTATTGTACGCTAGTTTTCTTCCTTTTCCTAGTGTAGATAAATGAATACATTTTTTATCGTATATAAAATTGTTATTAGTGAGTATTTTTATTCTAATTTTTAAATTGTTATTGTTAAAAATTGTGTTTGAACTGTTTGGAGAGCAACTAAAAAAATTATGTACAGAAAATTTCATACTTTCCATACGAAATATAAAATTAACATGCCAAGAGCAGAAATTTGTTTCAACAAAAGATAGTGTTGAATGTTTGGGGTAGAAAATTTCAATGAGACAAGAGGATGCACTTCTTGGTTGATCAACGCGCCGCACCATCCCGATCTTTTTTTTGTCACATGTCTTCGTCTCATTCCTTCTCTCTCTCTCTCTCTCTCTCTCTCTCTCTCTCTCTCTCATTCAAAGCGATCGTGGCCGTAATTACTACTTTCTTACGTCCACCAAGCGGCTTATCCTCCAACGATCTATCTATAGAACCCCGCGCTGGCAACCATCGCACGTCGGCGAATGGCACCGCGAATGGTTGCGTTTTGCTCGTACTGTTGCATCTTCCACATTACACACAATTCTCCGCAGGTGACTTAATCGGCTTCTCTCTTCTTATTCTTCTTCTTCTCATTCTTTTCTTCCTATTCGTTCTTCTACCTGGTCTCCGCCTTTCTCTTTTTCTTTCCTTAATTTCCGTAATCACTTGCGCGCTATCGGTTAAAATATTATCCCTTCGAAGATTTTCAAAAATTTCATTTAATAGTGCCATTGTGTCGTCGACCTATTGTTTTCGATTTTTTTAACTTTACGTTGAAATATTTTTGTTATATATAATACAGCAATAATTTTGCATTCTGCACGAGCTATTAATTATTTCTTATCATTTATAAGATGGTTGTGTTGGGCCCACTATATTGTCGGCATTCCCAAGTTGATTCTACGAAAGATAAGAATTTTCTTATAAACACTTTGTGTCTGGCACGAGTGTCAGGTTTCCCTCGCGTTTGGATTTGAGTGCAATGAAGAGCGTGCTTTCATCAGACCCGGGCGCTTGGCACAGATTACTCTTGGAACTATTAGGCGTTACGAGCAACATTCTCGTGTCCACATCAATTACTTCGGTTCGCGCGGCCTGTATAAGATTACGCGTGACATCGCCTCCATTTGATGACAGTCATCTCCAAATGGCTGAATAAGTCTTCACTCGATTACCGAACTGCTTGGTATACGATATAATAATCCGCCGATGTCTTTATACTGATGACTATCGAAAGTACAGTTTTTCTAAAATCTCTTATTTTTTAAATTAGTTATATACATATGTTTAAATGCAAAATGCTAATTGATGTAGCAACTTTATCGTCAGTCTTTTATTGTACCAATAATTTGGTTTTCATGCATGAAATAAAAACGGAAGTACCAAGTACGCGAATTTCTTTCCCATCGATGTATTTATCTATTGAACATTTAATTTTTTTCACAATAAAACGCAATATAAAATACTTGCGCAATTGGTACCCTGTATAATTATAATTGATATCTTTTAATAAATTGGAGTTCTCTTCTCTCTGAAAGGATCAGTTGAGGGATCAGTTCTTGCCGGTCCATCGACTTTCTGCAAGCGTACGTTGAATCGCCGTTGAAAATAAATCGTCGTCCAGCTGCACGGAAATATTTCGAAGATATGCA